ATCAGAAATTTCAAGAACACACAATTTTTCAAGGAGAATTCAGCTACTATCCGCCTTCAAATCAATATTTAAGAAATCGACGATCTTTTGAGGGCTATAGGAACCAATATAGCATCCAATATCTTCATTCTGGCCCCTTGCTTACTCAATTGCATTTAGAACTAGCAGTCGAAGGTGGTCATCTATATGATTAATAGTAATAATAGTTAGGATGTTTTGTGTGTTTAATATTAAGTACAAAATGCAACAAATTTGGACACACTACTTATTAATGAATAGTTTATCAATTACACTATTTAGAGCATTTACCTCCACATAGGTTCGCTACTTGGACACAATATTCATCAACAAATCATCCTTATCGCATTGGACCACGGATTCCGATCCCAAGGACTTGACTTCACAAGGGTTGCATTCCCTTATCTTAATCTACAGAATTTCGGACAAACTTTTCACTTTTGTTATAGATTTGGGTTGCAATAAACACAAAAATAATAAATTTGCTCACACTTACATCTTTTATAGTCAAGCATTGCAACTTAGGTTACAAAGTAACATACTTCCGCCTCTTCGAATTGTATTTCAAAATAGGTAGAAGTTTATCTTCGCCTTTTCTTACTTCGGGCCTAAGAAACTTTAATTTAACTATTTTATATAGAGTTTCTTGCAATTTTCACAACAATTGTGTGAGGACTAAAAAATTAAACAGTTGCACACAAAAATAACCAACGATTTAAAATTAGTTATGTAGGGTTGTTTTACTTCAGATATATAACTCGTGTTGATACCTAAATCGAGAAAATAACTTATCTATCAAAGCTTATTGAAGCCTCCCTGTCATCCTTTCAATATGTGACACCAAGATCACTGACATATTATAGGCTAAGAAGCATTGGAATACATGATATATATTTAGATACATTCGACCCCGGCCTTCTCATTGCCTCCTAAACCTTACAAAAAAAAGTACCCACCTTTGAAGAGGAGCGAAGATTGTGATGATGAAGCAAGTTATAATTTAGAAAGTAGAGTACCTTAAAAAAGGGTCATCTGACCTTATCTACATTACAACCGGCCAATTGTAACAAAACTCGTAAACATAGTCGATGATAACAGCTAACCGACATCCAACACATAATATATTAAAACACATTGAGCAATCAATGACAACAATCAAGGTAAATCTTCTAAGAGGGCAAAAGGCAGACAATTTGTATACCTCGAAAACAGGTGAACAACTTGTAAATCTAGAGTTACTGTGGCGACTTTCTTTGCTCCTTCATGAATGTCGTCCGATCCAAAGTAGCTGAAGCCCAATTATGTTTTTTGAAGTGATCTAGATTTTGAACATACTTGTAGTTTTTTATTCTACATGTTTTGTCCAATGAAGCAAGTAGGAAGCCCTCAATAAGAAAGTAATAGAAAAGCTTATAAAAAATTTCCATACTTTTAGCATCATCCACATCCACGGGCATATTTTTGTAGTTCTCCATACTTTTAGCGACTTTCTTCCTCATGCTTTCCTTCTTTCTCCTTTCCTTTTTTCTTCTTTCTTTTTTGCTTCCTTTTCATGTTCTTTTCTTCATTCTAGTTCTCCATCTCCACCTCCTCATGCTTTCCTTCTTTCTCCTTTCCTTTTTTATTTTTTTCCTTTTTGCTTCCTTTTCCTCTCTTTTTCATTCTCTTCTTCATCGCTCTCTTCCTCCTCGTGCTCTAAAGGAACCTTTTCCTCTTTTCCTTCTTTCATTTTGTTGTTGAATTGAAGTCTTGAACACAAATCTTTGGCCTCTTCGGTTTATCCTGATGGCTCAACATCAAGTTTGGTTCCCTCATCAAGAATCCTAATTATAGCTGCCACTTCATTGGCATAAAGCATGATGCTAACATCTCCAACAGTAAAAGCATTTTCAGTTGAATTAAATCTTTTACCGAGACAAAACATTATTTTGGAGGAGCCATCTAATGAGAATTTGGATGAGCTATCAATTCAAACAAACTTGTGAAGTTGTTTGACGAAATGGTGGAATTTGAATGCTTCATTCCTTCAAGGAGGATTTCTATATCATTTCACATCAATATATTTCCCAATGTTTTAAGATCGAGAAGCATAACATTGGTAATTTGCTAATTGAAATATATATATATATATATATATATATATATATATATATATATATATATATATATATATATATATATATATATATATATATATATATATATATATATATATATATATATATATATATATATATATATATATATATATATATATATATATATATATATATATATATATATATATATATATATTCATATATATGTATGTATTATATATACGGGGAGGTTCCGCTGAAAACAGAGCTATATATACGGGGAGGTTCCCAATGTTATATTTGATTGCAAATTGCGTTATTGCAATCAAATAAAAAGGGATAGGAAAAGGAAATCACCAGTCTGTTGATTTGAATAGTCAGATGAGGTTCGAGTTGGTTGAGCTCTGCAATTTCTTCCAAAATCGGTCATTGGTTCTGAGCAAATCGAAAAAAAAAAATAAAAAAAAGCTTGCAAAATTACAAAATTATACAAAGAACTCACCTGATAATAGATCGTAGAGCTGAGAAATTGCTGAAAATCAAAGTAATTGAAGCTGAATTTGAAAAAGTAGCATGAATTTGGCAGAAATTAGGAGAGAGAAAGCACAGAGAGAAGGTAGAGGAGGAAGGAGAAGATAGAGGAGGAAGAATAACGTTGAAATGAAGGAGAGAGAAATTGTAGACATTTTGAATGAAAATTGGGGGAAAAAATCTCGACCATCAGATTTGGTATGTTAGTGGGAGATTATAATCTACAGTCAAGATCTTATATTTTTAGTTTTCAGCTTAAGGTTGGTTTTTACATGATCCAACTCCTATATATATATATATGCATGATTAAAAATAGGAAAAGGGGGTGGGTGGGTGGCAATACATGGTAGTTGAGGAGGGGCCTCCGGGATATCCTTTGGGACATTCTCCGTGATTGATTCCATATTCCTCGGTTGAGGAGAGAGCAAACATACTATAGAACAAACAATCATTTGGCAAAATAAAATTAAAAAGTAATCAACAGCAATAAGAAATTGCAATTACACTGCTACTCATGAATTCGACCAAAAAAGAAATTTTAATTTTGAAGCAACACTTCTTTTAATTAATTCGACAAAAAAAAAAATTAAACTTCACATTCAACATACCAACAAATCGACATTACAACACAACAATTTGACAATTTCTTATTAACAACAATTTGACATTGCAAAGCCTAGAATTTGACAACATAAATCCAAAATTTAACAACCAAAATATTAAAATTCCACAACAAAATCCCAAATTTGAAAAAAAAAAATTGCCAAAAAAGATAAAATTACGAAAATTACCTTGCAATGTGAAGTTGTATATAAGGTGTTTTCAAGACTACGAGAAAGAATAGACAATGAGATTGAAAAGTTAATCTTAAAAACAATGGAACAAATTTAGAGTGTTTGGATGCAAATCACTGACTTAAAAACGAAATTATTCCGACGCAGTCATGATGCTCAATTGTATCTGTCAGAACGTCTCCTAAGGTTTGCGCACCACTCTCACACAAAGGCAATTTTGGGTGAGAGGTTGAAGTCACATAAACTTATGCCCAAAGAAGATGAAATGTGTTTAGCTATTTTGTATATGTCATTTATGTATTTCTGATTTTTCCAACCAAAAATATATATAAAAATATGGGGATCTTAAAGGTTGAAGAATCAAAGAAGACAAAGCTTTAATAACAAATTAAGAAGATATATGTAACACCCCTTTAAAAATCCCATTAAGGGTGTTAAGAGGGGGTTACAAATTAAAGGAAGAAGAATATCAAGAGAAGAAAGCCAATAGGATATGTTGAATTAATCTAGACATGAAAATGTCTACTCCACAATTTACCCCTGGGCAAACATGATAGGCCACAACCTACCCATGGAGTAAACTAATCAATCTTTAGAAAAGCAATAATCCAACTAAGAAACATGTCTTTTACTCTCTTTACTCCAACTGATTCCTGGTTGGTGGAGATTTCGGAATCTGGTGAAATCTCTGGCACCGGAATTCATTCATGTCATTTACCGCACCCAACCCCTAAAGTTCGTGCATTTATTGCTCTGCTTAAAGTTCATGCTATTGAGCACACCCAAACAATACTTTGTGCTACTCTAGCCAATTTAGCCTTTTTCTAAACCCATACACTTCCACAGTATTAAAGGAGTGATGTGGTAATAACTTAGATACTACTTAATCATAATTGTCTAAACATATCTGAACTTATTAGATACAGAAAATCGAATTTGTATAACCATTTATTAACACGCAAAAAACTTATAACAACTCATTTTTTGTTAGTCTTACATCTAATCTGGATCATCATAACTCAAGTGAAAAATATCGTGAATCAAACAAGGCTTAAGTGAGCGGTTTTCGTAATTAATGTTAAAATTGTAAACTATTTCCTTATATACATTAATTTAAAAATTATTTCCCGTTGTACCATCCACGTAGGATTGGTTAAAGTTTCTATGTTTTAAATTTTCTGAGGTTAAATCCTGCTAAAAATTAACGGTTTATTTCATAAAATTATTATTGTTATTAGCTGTTTTCATTCAATAATGTTTTCACATATACCAACTCAAACATTATTACTCAAATTCAAAGTCACATTAATCCCAACATCCCAAACATTATTACCCTTCTTAATATGATATGCTACTTCCTATAGGCAAAATTAGTCATTATCTAAAGTACTTCTAGTCTCATCTATTGTCTTTGCTTCTTTAATTTCATATCCTCGTCACATTTAATTTAATTTGCAGGCAAGGTTATACACATTCAAGCTATTGAGCAAAGATAACTTTACTTAAGCATGGTTATCAATTAGAAAATTGATAAATTGAACACTCAAAAATATAATAAACTTCAAACGGTTGAATTTAAATTAGATAAACTGATAAAGCAGTAAACATAGTTTGTGCTACAGAACTAAGCAAACAAATGTAGCAGGATAATTAAACTATTTAGAAACACAATTTGAGACTGGTAATTAAATGAAGTTGTTCTAAACAGTTAAGTCCATTGCTACTTCAGATTACTCGAAAGCCCACTGGTTCTCTCTGCCAACTTCTTCCTCTTCTTCCGGAGAGAAATCATTCTTGATATTGAAGTGCTTCCTTATCTGCTTGGGAGACTTTCCCTTGATCATATCCGCCACACACTGACAAGTTAAATCCAGCAAACTCTTTATTTCCATGTAATTAGCAGCCTGTATTCACAAACATAATTTAATTAGTTACACTCGCTCATCAATCGATCACACGTATATGTGTATATGTAACCGAACACATTACATTCACTACATATGATCAAGTAGCGACCCTAAATTCATATCAACATACAACTCGTAAATCTAAGCACACAAATTGGACTCGATATTATACATCATCCTACAAAGTCAAATTAATTTTATTTCATCAAAAATTAAATTCTATTCATCTTACAAAGTCAAACTAATATTATTTTCATCAAAAATTACAACTTCAGAACTCCAATTACAAAACTAAAAATTTAAACCCACATTAACCCTAGAAGAATTTTCTTAAAAAATCATTCTTCATATTAGACTAAATAATCATACATCCGAACCTTAATCTTGGAAAATTAAAAAAAACACATAAACCCTAAGCCCAAAACATAAAATAATTAATCATGAAATTAGTCCTAATTAACAAAATCAAAAGAAAGAAAGAAAGAAAATTAAATTGAAAAAACAAACTAAAAATAAATGAAATTAACATGAATAACATATAAACTAAAATCAAGAAAAATCCGAACCTTAATCTTGGAAAATTAAAAAACACATAAACCCTAAGCCCAAAAAATAAAATAATTAATCATGAAATTAGTCCTAATTAACAAAATCAAACGAAAGAAAGAAATAAAATTAAAATGAAAAAACAAACTAAAAATAAATGAAATTAACATGAATAACATATAAACCAAAATCAAGAAAACGGCAAAAAAAAAAAAAAAAAAAAAAAAAAAAAAAAAAAAAAAACCTCACAAGAATGAGATCAAAGAGGATATTCTGGTCGACTTTGAGGAAGTCCGCATCCCATTGTTTGAGATCATCATTGTTCGGGGTTTCGGATTCAGCCTTATTCTCTTCCTCGACATGTTTGTTGCAGTACTCGATTATCTTTGACAGAATTGTTGAGCTCACATTAGGCAGCGGAATTGGATCGTTGCTTACACCGATGTCTTCGATCAAGTTCTTGATGGTTTGAGAAAGCTTTGCTGCGTTTTCGTCAACCTCGAAACGCTCATTATCGGCACTCTTGAGGATTATCTTCCTGAATGAAGCCATTGCTTTTTGGTTGAAAAGTTGAGAAAAGAAGAAGATGAATTGGGAGTATCGGAGTATGAGAGAATGTGATGAGACTAAAAAAGACTAGAGCAGTATTTATAGAACTTTTGGAACAAGGGGCTTCACGTTTATTTTAAACTATGTAATTCCACAGTTTTAAAAGAGTGTAGTTATAAATAGATTTAATTTCTACTACTTAAACATAATTATCTTAACATATCTGAACTTATTGGATATGGAGTATTGAATTAGGATAACCCTTTATTAACATCATAACATGTAAAAACATATGACATCTTATTTTCTTGCCGGTCTTATCTTAAGGATAACTCAAGTGAAAAACCTCGTGGGTCAAACAAGACTTAATTGAGTGGTTTTCGTAATTTAATGTTAAAAACGTAAACTAATTCTTTATATGCGTTGATTATGAAATAAAATTCCATTGTTCCATCCATATGTAGGATTGGTGAAAGTTTCTATTTTTAAAATTATCCGAGCTTAAAACCTGCTAATAATATCAGCGGTTTTTAAAAAAAAAAAATTAAACCAATAAAATAATTTCATTAGTTGTTCTTTTATTAAAATTTGCTTGTGACATTAGCAATATATTTCATATAATCGTTATTGTTATTAGCGGTTTTCATTTAATTATATGTTCACATATAACTACTCAAACAGTAGTACTCAAAAAGTCTCATTTATCTCAACTTCCCAATAACCCATCCAAATTTATGATAGTGGTTTTATGTACAGAAGAACTAATACCATTAGAGGTTCTACATTTAGTGAAACGGTCATCACAATTAGCGGTTTTACACTGGCAAAAAATAAAAATAAGCAAAGCTTGAAACCGAGCCAATATGGAAGTTACACACAAAATTAGGATAACCATTTATTAACATTCATAATTACCTATGACAACTCATTTTCTGTTAGTCTTATCTTAGCTGGATCATCATAACCCAAATGAAGAATATCGTGAATCAAACAAGACTTAATTAAGTGATTTCGTAATTAATCGTAAAAACGTAAATTAATTCCTTACATACATTGATTTAAAAACTATTTATTATTGAATCCACGAAAGATTGGTGGAAGTTTCTAGCAATATAGTTTTTATAATTTTCAGAGGCTAAAACTTGCTTGATATATTATTAGCGGTTTTTTTTTTTTAATAAACAGCTGATTTCATTAGCGGTTCTTTTCATAAAATTGCTAGTGACATTAGCAGTTTAGTTCATAAAATTGTTATTGGTATTAGTGGTTTTCATTTAACAATGTTTTATTTTTCACATACAATAGCTCAAATATTATTATTACTTAAACTCAAACTCCCATTAACACATATAAAAACTTATAATATAATATCAGGATCATCATAACTCAAGTGAAAAATATTGTGAATCAAACAAGATTTAACTGAGTGGTTTTCTTAATTTATGGTAAAACGTAAATAGTTCCTTATTTGCGTCGACTTTAAAAATATTTCTCATTGTACCAGCCACGTAGGATTGATGAAAGTTTCATTTTTTAAATTATCCGAGCCTATAATCGTCCTGCTAATAATAATAGTGGTTTTTTTAAAAAATAAACCACTAAGCTAAATTAAATCAGCAGTTTTATTTTAATAAAACTATAATAACATTAGCAGTTTATTTCATAAAATTGTATTGTTATAGCGCGCGGTTTTCATTTAATTATATTTTCACATATATCTGCTCAAACATTAGTACTGAAATTCGAATTCTCATTTATGTCACTTCCCAATAACCCATTTGTAAATATGATGATAGTTTTATGTATAGAACCACAAATACCATTAGAGGTTCTATATACTAAACCACTTATACATTCATTAAAACTGTCATCACCATTAGTAGTTTCACATTGGTAAAAATTAAAACAGAAGTGAAGCTCGAAACCGAGCCTATATGGATGTTACACACAGAATTTGGACAACCTTTTTTAACATGAATAAAAACTTATAATAGCTCATTTTCTAGTTGGTTCTATCTTATCTAGATCATCATAACAAAAATGAAAATTAACATGAATCAAACAAGACTAAATAAGTGATTTTTGTAATTTTAAAATGCACTACTAGAAATAGGCCGTTTTCCGAGTGAATCGTTCCGACGGACCTAAATTCCGTCGGAAAATTCGAACTTTCCAACGGAATTAGGGTCTGTTAAAAAATTCCGTAGGAAAAGGTACGTTACGACGGAAAATCCGTCGGAATTCTTGCGATGGAAATTAATTCTTTCGGAATTATAGGCTTCCGACAGAATATTCCGTCGGAAAGTTAACTTCCCTACAGAATTTAAATCCATTGGAATTTTCCTACGGAATATTCCCTCGGAAAACCCAAATATTCCGACGGATTATTTTTCCGACGGAATATTCCGTCGGAACGTTCTTATATATAAAAAAAATAAAAAAATAAAACCCTCAATTCCTTCGTTTCTCTTTCTCCTCTCCTCTCCTCTCCTCTTTCTCTCTCTTCTCCTTCTTTGCTTTTCCTCCTTCTCCTTCTAATTCCCCTTCGTTTCTCTCTCCTCCTTCCTTCTCCTTCCCCTTCGTTTCTCTTTCCTCCTTCTCCTTCCCCTTCCTCTTCTCCTTCCCCTTCGTTTCTCTAACCGTCGTTGCGCAACAAAGCCACGCACCACCGCCGCTGCGCAACAAAGCCACGAACCACCGCCGCTGCGCAACCAACACACCACCACCGCCTTCTAAAGGTTTTTCAAAGAACAAAATAAGGTTTTTCATGTCAAATTCGACCATGAAAACTCTACGGATGTGTGTTTTGATGGAATTCAAGCCAAAACGGAAGAAGAATTGTGTGTTTGAGTATTTGAGTATGAGAGAATGTGATGGGACTAAGAAAGACTAGAGCAGTATTTATACAAGTTTTGGAACAAAAGTTTCAAGCTTTTTCTTTATTTATTTATTTTTTTTTTATTTTTTTTTTAAACCATGTACTTCCACAGTTTTAAAAGAGCATTAACTTGAGGGAACGTCATCATCGTTAGCCATGACAAATGGTGCGGCAAGAAAATCAATGGAAAAAGCGGAAGCAAAATAAAGTTATAAAACAAACAAAATTAATCCTATGATCGTAAACTTAGGGCTCTGATACCATGTTAGATTTCAGGAAAATTTCTTAATCTGAAGTGTGTACCATTGATCAATATGTGTAGAGTTTTACAAGACTCGTACTCTTGTTACGAAAAAGATACAAAATATATACAAATATTATCCTAATTTGCAACAAATATTATCATAATTATAATATCTATCACTACTACTTCAGTTTAATTGTCTAAACATATCTGAACTTATTAGTTAAGGAGTATCAAATTAGAATAACCCTTTATTAACATGTATAAAAACATATGACATCTTATTTTCTTGTCGATCTTATCTGGATCATGATACCCAAGTGAAAAACCTTGTGAATCAAACAAGACATATTTGAGTGGTTTTCGAAATTAATGTTAAAAACGTAAACTAATTCCTTATATGCGTTGATTTTATAAAAAAAAATAAAAAAAAATAAAAATATAATCCCGTTGTACCATCCATGTAGGAATGGTGAAAGTTTCTATTTTGAAAATTATCCAAGCCTAAAACCTACTAGTAATATCAGCGGATTTATTTTTTAAAAAATAAACCACTAAGTTCATTAGCAGTTCTTTTATCAAAATTTGCTAGTGACATTAGCGATTTATTTCATAAAACCGTTATTGTTATTAGCAGTTTTCATATAATCATATTTTCACATATAACTGCTAAAAAAGTAATACTGATTTTTTTTTTTTTAAAGAAAGAATAGTACTCTAATTTGAAGCCTTATTTATCTCAACTCACCAATGATCCATTCGTAATTATGATAGTGGTTTTATGTATAGAACCACTAATGACATTAGAGGTTCTATATACTGAACCGCTTATACCTTTAAAGGCTCTACATTTGGTAAGATTGACATCACCATTAGTGGTTTTACACAGGCAAAAAATTTGGACGTTATACACAAAATTAGGATAACCATTTATAAGCACTCATAAAAACTTATGACAACCCATTTTTTGTTACTCTTATCTTATCTGGATTATAATAACTGAAGTCATACAGTCAAAAACATCGTGAATCAAACAAGATTTAATTGAGTGGTTTTTGTAATTGATGTTAAAAACGTAAATTAATTCCTTATATGCATTGATTTAGATCTTGTACCATTAATGTTATAATAACGTAAATTATTTGCCATTGTACCATCCATGAAAGATTGGTGGAAGTTTCTAGCAATATAATTTTTAAAGTTTTCTAAGGCTAAAACCAGCTAAATATTTTAATGGTTTTTTTTAAAAAAAAAATACATAAACAGCTAATTTCATTAGCGCTTCTTTTCATAAAACTGCTAGTGACATTAGCAGTTTAATTCATAAAACCATTATTGTTATTAGCGGTTTTAATTTAATTTAACAAGGATTTCACACATAATAGCTCAAACATTATTACTCAAAGTCTCATTAACACATATTAAAACTTATATCTGGATCATCATAACTCAATTTAAATATATCATGAATCAAACAAGGTTTAAATGAGTGGTTTTCTTAATTTATGTTAAAACGTAAATAATTTCTTATATGCGTTGATTCACCCACTTCCCAAAACCCAACCGAAAACCCCAAAATCGACCTGGAAGGACTAGAATGGGTTTCGGGCTACGACAAGGAAGGGGTTTCGGGGTGGAGGAAGGGGTTTCATAGGTTTTTCGTGGGGAGGGAGGAGGATTTCATTGATGGCAGTTCGAGGGGAGAGAAATGGGGTTTCGGTGATGGTGGATTGGTGGTTTGAGGGAGGGTAGGGGGTGGGCGACGGCGACGGTAGGTAGAAATGGGCGGCAGGCCGACGGGGAAGCAGAGCTGGTGCTGCCGGGGGTTGGAAGAGGGGAGCTGTTGGTGGGGGAAGAGAAGGTGACTGGTGAGGGAGGAAGGGGGTGGGGGAATTTCGAAAAGTTGGATGGTTGTAGGTGGCCGGCAATCAGAGGCGGATGTAGGTGTTCTTCGCCAAAG